TCTCAGGAAAAACCCTCAGAGCCTCAACTGCCACCACCGGCTTTCCACAAGCCTCTCTCTCCCACACAAGCTTCTCTCCACCTCCCACAATCCTCCTGCTCTTGAGGCCGATTGGCTGGGTCACGTGGGCGGAGCCAAAAAAGTCCCCCAATGAGCAGCTCCGTGGTCTGAAAGGGGAGGGAAACAGCCCAATGAGCATCACCGCAGAGGAGCCAATCAGCTAGATGTTGCTGGGGCCGCTGTGAGCCAATCATCAGCCGGCAGCTGGAAGTTTGCTGGCAGCTGGAAGTTTGCTGGGGCCCCTTCGGCTGTGGCTCTCAACACCAGATTTCTCAGGAAGTTAAACTGAAGAGAAGGATAAAAGGATTACCTTTTTTTTGGGGGGGGGGGTGGGTACAGGGGATTGAACCCAGTGGGGCTTAACCACTGAGCCATAACCCACCCCTTTTTTATATTTTATTTTGAGATAGGGTCTCACTAAGTTGCTTAGGGCCTCGCTAAGTTGCTGAGGCTAGCTTTGCTTTTCCTGCCTCAGCCTCCTGAGCTGCTGGAATTATAGGTGAGTGCCACCATGCCCAAATATTAGAGAACTAACATTTTTGAGACCTGCCTGAGTGGCAGTCACTATGGTGGTTTACACAAGTTATCTGAATTTTCCCCAAAATGCAATCAACTGCAATTATTAATGTACCACCTTTATGATTTTTGCCCAATAGGTCCTATTCACTGATTTAGAATTTCTCTTCAAATTGATTTCCTTTTTTAAAAAAATGCATGATTTTATTTCAAAGGAAAAGCTATATTATTTCCATAAATCAGAGTTTGATGTATTTCTAACATGCAACAGTTGTGAGCTATTAAATAATAAATGTTCCTCTGTATACCACCTCCTAAAATCATCTTATACAACATTAATCACATATGTGCCAGCCTCTGGGAAATACTGTGGCATCTTAGCTAATGCTCACACATCCCTGGGAGGATTGCTTAGGGAAGAGAAGGTAGATGCTGAATGTAGATGTCTGAAGTTCCACTGGTAGAAAAGGATAGGGCTGAGATTTGAATCCAGACAGTCTACTTCTAAATGCTTAGGCTCTTTCAACACCAGTGCCTTCCAAATGCTATTTTTTAAATCCAAAGAATCATTTAAAGATAAAATTGTGTGTGGAAATCCAATATATAAAACAAATAAAAGAAGAGCTTTTGTGATTGAAGTGGGGCTCAGGAATCCAGTGCTGCTTCTTTGGGACCTTTCCCCCAACCCCCTAATCCATCTTCTTAATGGTTCTTGAGAACATTTCTTAGAAGCTTGGGACTCTGAGGAACATAATTTTAAACCCAAACTCCACTACCCAGTCCCTTGGCACTATTTAGTTCAGTTTTCCCTGTGAGCCAAACTCCTGAGGGGCAACTTCTGGGTCTATGCTGTCTTTCTTGGCTGGGCATCTCTAGTTTTGAATCTTGGCCATCTTGCTATCTTGAAATTTTCCATCTTGCCATCTTGAAATATTCCACTGGATTTTTTAAGCTTCACTCTGACCTAATTATTCATTCATCAAACACTGATGTCTAAACAGTACCCAGGTTTTTAGAGGGCACAAAGGGGAGACTGAGAGGAAAAGAATATGTTTTCTTTGATGGTCCCAAGATCAATGTGCGAGAGACAAACACAGACATGGCCAAGTACAGCATTGAAAACCTCCCTGCTCACCTAAAATTAATTTGTTGGCTCTGTTACTTTCTGTCCCAGGTGTCTGGTTGCATTCTGTGATGGGCAGTGATAGGGCTGGTGAAGGGGCCCCAGTGATGCAGTCTCCCCTCCCTTTCACATGGTGATGCCAGGGTCTTCCCTGATTCCCTGCTGGAGTTCCTAGGTCACTCCTGCATTCAGCAAAAAATGCCTGATATAAATTTGGTGTTAGATCATACCTTGTTCAGACCCCTGAATCCTCATTCCAAAAGGACCAATTCACAACTGCCCCAGCATCTGCAATAGGGAACTCTGCCTAACTCCTGGCCTCAGCCTGACTTTTCTTCTCATCATTGAGACTATTTGACTCCCTAACCTCCCACTGGGGTATGTACTAAGGAAGAGGGGATCCTTTGGCCTTAAAAATATGAAAACATCCTGGCAGAATTTCTGTATGTTTTTAAGTTTCCTAAAGGATATTCTGCATGGGGTGTCCCCTCACCATGTCAAGGCTGCTATCCTTTGAGTTCTAGCTATAATCTTGATCCTCTCTAAGTCGCTTCCATCTTTGGAAGATTCCCCAAATGTTTTCAATGAGACCCTTGGGGTCTCCTTTGTACTATAGTACTGGGTCTTAGCTAAGCCCAAGTTCCAGGAAGTTTCTTTCTTGGTAGGTCTGAGAGTTGGGTTCATTCCCTAAATGCAAAAATACTCAAGTCAATTCGAGCCAGGTCCATTAGATCAACTCTACCCAGGCCAAAGCAAGCCAGTCAGCTCAGCTCAATGCACACATACTGTACTCCTCTGCTTCTTTCCTATCACCCTTAGTCAGGCTCTAGTTTGGAGACAGGTAGAATCTAGCCATTAACAAAACACACTTATGGCTCTCAAGGAGTGTCTTTGTTTTGAACTTAGATTCCAGACTCAAACTTTTCCTTCAGCTGTGGGAACCCTCTGCACAAGGGGAAAAGATTCCTCTTTTCTAGACTGCAAACAGCCAAACTAGCCTGATCTCTCAGAACTGCTACCCGAGACTTGCCAAGCCACCCTCTTGGTGTTGTACGACCCTAAGATCCTCAGATCACAGAGTCAATTGTCCCCTTTCCTTTTAGAATCTGGTTCATATGGGTCTGGGTTTATTGATTTAAAAAAATAAACAAAACTTGCACTAAGCACTTACCGTGTGCCAGACACCTTATAAAGGTTATTTCATTTAATTCTGTGAAAATTAGATTGCACAGGTTTCTGTGCAATCAGTGTGGATGCAGAACCAGTTAAGTGACCACCCAGACTTTAACCCAATTTCAAAGCCTGTACTCATTTGCATCACATCTCAGTGTCTCTTAGAGCATTGAAAAGAATCTATCATAAAGGGTAGAGAGATCACTAAATACTTAAACAAACACATTGTGTATGGAGGGAAAGAGTGGATTAATTAATATTTTATGTAAGGCCGAATCCCACCTGACTGGTTTATTAGAATCCTTTGAGAAGTGAACTATATAGGGAGATAAAGGGTGACTTTCACAAAAAGCCTTTGTCAAGCTTCTATCCCAAAGCCTATTAATAAAATTGATTCATTATAGAATTGGGCAGAGGTGGGTGGTAAGTGGGAGGGAGTCTATTTTTGCATGGATAGAGAACTGGCTTAGAGACAAGAAAGAGGGTGGAGATAAATGGGTGCTTTTTCAAATGAAGAACTAGGGATCCCCAGGAATTGATTCTGAGTTTGGTTTTATATAATGCTCAGTACTCATGCATTGAGCACCCAGTGTATACAGGCCCTGCACTAAACAGGGGGGGTTACCCAAAACCAGCAGGACCTAGCTCCTGTCCTGAAGAAGCCTAAGGAAGAAAGTGCTCAGTGACATCTCCAAGTTTGCAGAGGACAGGAAACTCCTCAAAGGAATGAAGTGCCAAGACATTGGAGATAAAATTGAAAAGGTGGCTGAGGGAGTGGAAAAATCCCCAGACCAACAATCAGCTTCGAGGTCTACTATCAGCTCTGTCGCTGACACGTTGTGTGACACTGCACAAGTCTCTTCCCTCTGGGTTTCAGTTCTCTCTCCTACAGCAATGAAGGGATTGGATTAGTTCACCTGTAATGCTGGGGAGCTTGGAATGAAGGACAATGACTTGAAGAAGGAGAACTGGTTATGAGAAAGTCTCTATTTCTTGCAGCCAAAATATTCTCTTCTGTCCTGCACCGTGATGGGGGACCACTCTCTCTCTCTCCCTCTTTCCATTTGTGAAAAGTAATGACAAGGCAGAGAGCCGTGAGGTCTGTGAGGCTGGGGCTCCGAGCCCAGCCTGGAATCCCTCAGTGGCATTCTCTGCAAATGACTCAGCATCATAAATAGCTCCCATCTGGATGAGCAATGATATCTATAGCGATCGAGCGATCTCTATATCCACACACACTCTCTCTGTGCAAATATGTGGCTCACTGTATGCTAAATATGAGGTGGCCTGGAGTCGTTCCTCCTCTTAAAAGACTATTTGGTATGAAACTCAAGACTGTTTATTTAAAGAAACAAGTTTACAACTAGGCACATTGGATTACTGGTAGTGGGTGGTGGGGAAGAGATGATGTGGATGGAGGGATGCTAGATATGATCTCAGCTTGGCCAGCCACCCAGAAGAGGAGCTAAGGTTGACTACTCCACCTTTGTCCTTCTGTCCACAGCAGAAGGGGCTAATGGACACCATACCCAAGATGCTTGAGATCCTTGGATGGGGTGGGAGTAGAGGTGGGGGTGTTGAGCTCATTAGAGCAAAAAGAGGTGATTCAGCAGAAAGAGCATAGGACCTGGCGATGACAGGTAAGACAAGTTCTAGCTCAGCCCTGCCCTGCTATTCGTCTTGGGCAATTCATCAATTAGCTCATTCATTCATCAAACAGATACCAAGAACCTACAAAGTGCACAGGACAAGAAAAAAATAGGTCAATATTCAGCCTTACCATCTATATACATTTGGGCAAGTTGTTTCCCCCTCTGAGTTTCAATCTCCTCATCTGTAACTGGGGATAATAATATCCACCTCATTTTGCGGGGTGGAGGGCAGCTCAGAATAAGACAATTCATGAAAAGCGCTTCTCTGTCGTAAACGACTCTTCAGATGCAATCTAACACCATTCTGCCATATTGCCTAGTTGATCCATCTCATTCCAACTTAAGGAGTGTTCTTGGTGAACTCAGAGGGGGAATGTCATCATGACCCTCTTTATCAGAACCCCAAGGCTGGGGGGTGGGTGCAGCGGTGCTTTCTGAATACCACCCATGGGTGTGACCCAGGGCAGTACCCTTACCTTTGCTTCCTGGCTAAGCTGGGATGCAGGAGCTTTCAGTCAGTGAGCAGAGCAGAGAGCATGTCAGAGATGCCCAACTTCCTAGAGGAAGAGAGAATTTTGAAGGTGAAGAGAGAGCTCATGGGGTAGGCAACTTCCCAAATGCACATGGAACCCCAGGAGCAAATGAAGTGTCTCTGAAGGCCACTACTGCTTCTGTTAGTTGTATCAAATGATTGGGCAGGATGGGGCTGTGTCAGGCATCAGCCCCAAATGCTGATCCACTTCACTAACCTGATAGCAGCTGCCTACCTGACCCATTGGTTGAGGCAATACTTGGATTATATGCTGGCTACAATGTTTTATGACATAAACACATTGTTTTATGACATGATTCCTCATCTATAAAATGGGACTGCTGCTTCTCTGTCACTCTCTCTCTCTCTTTCTCTTTTTCTTTTTATGTGTGCAGGTGTGTGGTACTAAGGATTGAACCCAGGGGCACTCTACCACATTCCAAACCATTTTCACTTGTAATTTTGAGACAGGGTCTTGCTAAATTGCCTGGACTAGCTTCTGACTTTCTGCATCGGCCTCTGGGGTTGCTGGGATAACACATGAGTACCATCACACCCAGCAAAATGGGGCTTCTAATAGTACCACCCTCCTACATTAAGTACTGAATAAGTTCTGGTTCTCACTGTTAAATATGATCATGCCTGTGAAGAAGATGCCTATTACACTGTAGCCCCTCAAATTTTAGTTACCTTCCTCTGCTTTGTTCTAGGAGGCACCAAATATTCCTTAGAAGGTAAGGATGGTCCTTCATGCCCAAGGCCTGGCAGAACATAGGCCCCATTAAGCGTTTGTTGACTAACCATCACTTGACATGTTTGCTGGGTTTTCTTTCACATATTAGGATTAGTGAGGTCAATGTTTCATCTCCATTTTTAGATTGGGAATAACAGGGGTGGAGAGGGTAAGATAGTCTGGTCAAGGTCACACAGAGATAAGTGTGGAGCTGGGATCTGAACCCACAATCCTCCCTCTTTTCATGCCAGTCCCTGTTCTCTTTTGCAGTTGGGGCCTCTCTTGGTCAAGCCCTAAGGTCTGGGCCACTGAAGGGGCCTGCAGTGTTTGCCAACCTCCCCTGCATATAACCTGTTACTTCTTCCTCTATTTTTCTCTTCTTTTCAGAAACTACTCACAGTGGTCCTATGGGGGCAAATATCATATATGGGAGTTGGGACTGAGGTTCAGAAGAATGAAGAGCTTCCAGATCATGGACTTAGTAAGGAGTGAAGGAGGGGTTCTAACAAATATGCCTGGCTCTAAGACCCTGATGTTACCAGCAGCCTTCTGGACCACCTTGGACAACAGCATTCTGACCCCTGGGTCTCAACTGAGTGAACTTGCCTAACTTTCTCTATGGCACTATCACCTCCCCCACAACCCCTCAATCCCACTGTCAGAATTAGTTCCCTGATGCAGGGACTGGCTGCTCACCAGCACCCATGCCTTAGCAGGACTTGCTAGGTATCTGCTGAGTGAATGAGTGAATGTGGTAAGTGAATGAGTGTGCCCGGTCATTTCTACATGCTGGTGACACAGTAGTAGAAAGAGCAACATGGCTCCTGCTCTCAAGGAGCTGACAATAAAAACTCACAGCTGGATTGGAAACTGGGCAGAGTTGTTGTTTTGTGATGGGCTGGGGCAGGGAGCTAAGGAGGGCGTGTATGTGGGAATGAAGCCTGACCTCTGCCCAGGGCATGGGCAGCTCAGAGAAAATGGCAGCTTCCCTGTCCTTGGGCAGGGCCACCTCTATGCACGGTCAAGCATCTGACCTTTAAGATGGCAAGGAAAGAAAAACACATTGAGTGTTGACCTACTGCTGAGTCCACAACAGCTAGCACATTGCTGGCACATATAAGGTATTGCCTGGCACATAGTAGGTGCTCAGTAAGCTTTTGTTGAATGGATGACAGATGGGCAGAGAGGATTTGGGGCCTTATGGGAATCGAGTGTTAACTTCCAGAATGATTATCCCTGAGTGGGGCTTTATTCTATAGAACCCCCTCATGTGCCAGTTATCCTCACTGTGCAGGTGAGGGTCCATTTTCAGTGTGTCAACTATGAACCCAGCTCCTCACAAGCACTATTTTGAACATTCTCATTAGCTTGGCAAGGCCAATGTCATAGCTCCTATCTCACAGAGGATGGCAAGGAGGCTCAATGAGGACTTGATCTTGCATGATTGTAACCCAGGTCTCCTGCCTTATTCTAGGAGCAAGATGTAAAAAGTCCACAGCCTAACAGGGACACAAACAGGAGAACAGAGTCACATGCAGTGTGACTCCCAGATTTGCCAAAGGGGCTTCCCTCTGCCGAGAGCAGCAGGGAGGGCACCTCTGAGAAGGCAGGCTTGTGGCTGAGGCATAGAGGAGGCCAAGCAGACAGTGGGCGTGCTTTCCAGGCAGAAGGCACAGCAGGCCCAAAGGCATGGAGAGAACATGATCCACTCAGGGAACTGGGAGGAAGGTCGTTGGGCTGGAGCCTGGGGGTGAAAGATGAGACTGGCAGGTGGTCAGGGCCTGTGGAGGAAGGTCCTGACAGAAGCTGAGATAGGCCACCTTGTGCCTCTGGAGAGGAGTACAGGGGGTATGGGAATGAGAATGGGGTATGAAGATGGGAATCCTGGGATGTTTGCCAGGCCACAGACAGGGAGACACCTTAAGGCAGTGGCTCCGGAGTAGCAAAGACGGGAGGAGAAGGAAGCAGGACTTGGTGCCTGATGAGGTAAGGAGTTGATGAAGGAGACTCAGCCTCATGGACTGGGTCTAGCAGTGAAAGTCAGTCTTCCCACTAGTTGACCCACCCTGTTAGAGGAGTTAGAGGCCCTCTCCTGACCCCCAAGAAAATCACTGCTGCAGCTCTAGCCCCAGGCCCAGGCCCGAGGCCCAGAACCCACTTGACTACTTGCAGATGGTGTCTTGGCAACCTCTCAGCCTTCACCTTGGCAACACTACCCTCTTTACTCCCTCTCCTCTGATTAGGCTGGAAGGCAAGGTGGAGCTGGGATGTGTCCTGACCCCTAGACCTGTCCAGAGAACAGACCAGTCAGGTGGAAAAGGTGGGTTTGAATCCTGGGAAGGGCTCTAGGCTGGGAGCCTTGGGAGCTGGGTTCTGATCTGAGACTGATGTTCTGTCTGAGCAACCTTGAACAAGTTTCTTCCCTTCCACCGGCCTCAGTTTCCCTTCTGTAAAATAGGAAGGTTGAACAGTACCATATCCAGAGTCCAACATGGTCCAGGTTGATCTTTTTCACGGCTGGATGCTCTATTACTAACACAGATTTTAGTGTCAGACTCCAGGAATGTAAATTCTGGTTACCTTAGACAATTTGCTTTATCCCTGAGTCTAGATTTTTTTTTCCCTATAAAATGGATATATTTCACGCTTTCTTACCCAAAGGGTTATGACAGTCAGTTGAAATGCTATTAACTAAATTGATTTATAAATAGCAAAGAGATATACAAATATTATCTATTCCGTTTCATTACATGGGCTGTTCTCAGGCACAAATTTCTTGAACTACCAGTGCAACCATCACAACCACAGCGTTTTTTGAACACTTACTACATGCCAAGCATTCTGATGAGTATTTTCCTAATATCTTCTTAGTTTATCTTCACAGCAACTATATGAGTTACCTGTTATTATTATTCCAATTTTACAGATGAACAAAATGGAGGACTCACATGGAGAAATGTAGAAAGAGCTTGGTCAGGTTCCCTGGCTTCAGAACTTGAGTATTTAAGATTTAATGAGGTGTCCATCTCAGGAGCTCATCTCTCCATCTTGAGTTTTTCCTCTTGCCTGGAGTCAAGATCTAACTGAGAGCCCAGTGGGTAGGAAAGCAGCACTAAAATTTAATGAGCATCTCTTTTGTGCCAAGAATCGATCAGCTTCTCAGATTTAATGTGTGTGCCAATCACCAGGGGCTCTGGTTAAAATGCAGATTCTTATTCAGTAGGTCTGGGATGCAGCTGAGATTCTGCATTTCTAATCAACTCCAGGCCGATACTAATGCTGCTGGTTAGGAGACCACACTTTAAATTGCCAGGTGTTAGAGGACTTCAGACATTATTTACTGAATCCTAGGGGACTAGATTTTATCAGCCCTGGGATCCCAGATAAGGAAATTGAGGCCTAAGAACTGACCAGTCAGTTCTGGACAGGTCTAGTGGTCAGGAGACATCCCAGCTCCACCTTGCCTTCCAGCCCAATCAAAGGAGAGGAAGTGAAGAGGGTAGTGTTGCCAAGGTGAAGGCTGAGAGGTTGCCAAGACACCATTTCCAAGTAGTCAAGTGGGTTCTGGGCCTCGGGCCTGGACCTGGGGCTAGAGTTGCAGCAGTGATTTTCTTGGGGGTCAGGAGAGGGCCTCTAACTCCCCAGGGTGGGTCAACTAGTGGGAAGACTGACTTTCAATGCTAGACTCAGTTCATTACACCTTACCAGGAATAAGGTGATGCACCTGACTCAGGGTCCCACAGTATATAAGGGATGGCATGAACCCAGGTTACCTCAACATTATAGTGCCCTGGGTTGCAGCCCCTGCATCACCTTCTTGATGTGTGGTCCTTGTTTTGGGCTTCTGTCTCTATAGAGGAGGCAGGCAGAGGTCAAGGCCCCTCATGAGCAGACTAGATCCCATGGCTGAATGGGGCAGGGCCTGACCTAGGCAGTGTCAGTGCCAGTAAGAAAACTCTCAGGACTAGGACTAGATCTTGCTCATGTCTGACTTTCCTCACTTGCTGCACCCTAATCCCAGCTCTTTTATGTTCTGACTTTATTAGAATTTTTGATACTTTAGTCATAGAATTTTGGCATTAATTTTATTTTAAAAAATTGCAGTTGGGTGTGGTGGCACACATCTGTAATTCCAGCAACTTGGGAGGCTGAGGAAGGAGGATTGGAAGTTGGAGGCTAGCTCTGTCAACTTAGGGAGACCCTGGCTTAAAATAAAAAATAAAAAGGACTTGGAATATAGCTCAGTGGTAAACTGCCCTTGAGTTAGATCCCTAATACCATAAAATAAATAA